TGTGTTAATCACCCCCCATTCTTCTTTCTGGCACTTAACCCTCCAGGCATTTTGCCTCTTTAGGAGATTAAGCGACCAAGTCATCTTGTTGCTCTAACATGTCCTCACTGGAGCAACATATTAACACAACTCCTCTGCAAAAGAGCCCTCTTTAGAAGTTTGCTGCAGGGATGACAAATTAACCCAGCATGGTGTCCCACACATCTATCTCAGTACAAATTATTAGTGTAATAGAGCTTTTAGTTATGCATTTATCTAGTAATTATTGAACGGTTATACAAAACGAAGCTGAGCAATCATGGCCCTTTATGAGGCAATCTCAGTGGGTGGTCTTACAGTTAATTTAGGATAGGACTGTCTAAGCAGTTCACTCACACACAAATTAGCTGAACAGCCTGCTCCTTTAAATATTTCCTATGTCACAGGCTAACTCTTTACAATACAACAAAGGTAGAGTTTTAATTACACGGTTCCTGACTTTTGTTTAGCTGAAGCTTTAACCGTTTGCAAGCCTTCCTCTCTGCCCTCCCCTGCCTGGGATATGGGAGTAGATGGCTGTTTGGGTAGGGTATCTCGTAATTACTAAACCCTGACCTTGAGGCCATCTGTTAGGAAACTGTTTTTCCTTCAGCATCATATTATTTCAAAGTGAGTGGAGAAAATAAAAATCTTCACCTATACAGTCAGCTATCCTGACATTGTAAACTGGACCGTTGCTTTTCACTGTTGCAAAAGCAACACTCGTCTGTTGGTCAGCGTTATGCTATTTATGGTTTCTACTCAACTTTCTTACCCTTGTGGTGTGGCTCTCTCCTCTTTTGGCTGTGTTACATTACCATCGCCTGATCTGAGGCGTCTGTATCAGAATGAAGTTGCACTGCTTTGTTTTTGTCAAAATTCAAAGGAAAGTAGAAGGTTACATTAGTCTGCCAGCTGACAGCATCAAGGAGCAGCCACGGATAGTTGTACGGAATAGGATAGTACAAAATGTCCTTTTACACTGTGTAGCTCTGGAGCAACTTAGCAGGAATTATCCCTTTGATTCACTTGAAGCTGGCTGACAGGACAGCTAACAGGCACTGATATTTTGGTGACCCCGTGGAGAATTTTGATAGAGAAGGGCACAATGTCTTCCCAGATATGTGACATGAAGTTTTTGCCACTTTGGCACAAACAGAGAGTACTATCCTGCATAGTTTCCCTGGTAGGCCTTGTCCTGATAAAAATCTCAATGGCAATGCTTATTATGGAGGAAATTAATATAATGGGAACCACTCCACTGGTTGACTGTCATCCCTTCTTCTCTTTCTGCTCACACACCCACTTCCTTGAGTTCTTCCTTTTGTGCAGTATTTCTTGTTTCTTGTAATTGTGTTTCTCCTTCATTTATCTTCCTAACATACCATCTCATTCTTTTTCTTTTCTTGCCTTTTCTTCCTTGCTTTTTGGCTTGCAGGATCTATGCTGTCACATTCTGTGGAAATGCTTGAATGCTCTACAGCACAGGCTGCTGTATGTCCTAGGTTTACAAGATCGTGGTCAATTTAACATTTCAGCCAGCTCCAGATAAAAAGCCACTAGAGTGTAAGTAGCAATACATGGAAGCCTAAAACCACTTATGTAAATACTGCTGTCACCCATACTATTTAAATCCTTCACTGTCTGGTAAAGAGTTCAAGTGGGCTAATGTCTGGGAAACTTTGTTAGATGCCAGCAATACATGATGGCTTTGCAATACTGGAGTACTGTGGTGAGCTACATTGACCACCGAATAATCTAACTCGTAGGTAACAAAAGTATGCTGCGTGGGAGATAGAGATCTGACTGCTAGAATTTTCAATGCTTTGAAATAAATTCTAAAACTGATAGTGATGCTAAAGCCACCCTATAGGTGATCAATTTACCATCTGCCAGACACTGAATCCTAACCACACTGGTCCAGAGAAGACATATGGTGCATTCATAGAGTCATGCCCAAAAAACTGCCATCATCAAGTGAGGCTCCATGAATCACTTTGCTAGCTTATCACCAAAGAAACTTGGATCTTACCACCATCTGTTGGAACTACTGAGGAGTCACTGAAGCATTGGCATCCATGCGCCAGCACTCACTGCACATCTGGTCCTTTGGTCAGCCAGCTCAGATCCTCTCTGCTGGCTACTGCCCAGCTGGGTTGAGTACTGGCAGCAGCACCAATGCAGATAGGAAACTAGTGCACAGCCTTCCACAACACGGTACAGTACAGATAATTTCATGAGAACAGAGGTTTTCCAACTGGTCCATTGAATGGAGCACCTTATAGCTAAGGAATCCTTTTAAGGATCTACTCCTCCTCCAAGCAAGTTTTGTTTCCAAAATGACTCATTGTGGGGATCACTGGGAAGGGCACTCAGTATCCTGGGATACCCAAGCATAAGACTGTGTGCTGTGTTCTAAGGAATGTTTGGAAGTGTGTGAAAGATTCGGCAATATTCCTGAGAAGTTATAAATCACTGGTTGTCAATGACAACACCTGCCATGAATAGTCTACAGCTTCTTCTCTGCTGTCTATTTTCATCATGCTTTACAAATGCATCTCATATACACATCCAAGTGATAAACTTGCACATATGAACATCAGAAGGAGATTGAACCTTCTTGTAGTCATTCAGTTGGATGAGGAGCTTACTCTGATGGTGACCTACTTATGACTTTCCTTTCTTTGAAATATCTCTGCAGACTGAAGATTTAATCCTGCTCTTACTTTCCTGAAGACTACTCAGAATGACCTGCCACTGACCATTTACATAATGCATATGTATCCAAACAGAATGCAACATGTGTGTACTATATTATACCTATCATTTCTGCACAAAGGTACAGTAACTAATGGTGCATATGAATTGCTCAAAGATTATATCCTCTTATACGATTGCATTATACTCTTTATGTTGCCACTTTTGATACCTGAAAAGCTTCTCTCTTCTGCTTACTGTCCTAAAGTACACTGGAGGGAATGGGATAAAGAACAAAGCTGGATTTGCAGAAAATAATCCATCTCAGTATATTACCCTTTACTAACAGAGCAATTGTTGTAGAAAAGAAATAAACACAGACAGTGTGCTGTGGGAGAAGAATACCGAAGAGGAATGTCCAAAAAGAACAAAGAACTAAGTCTGGAACAAGATTTTTTCCAGGATGATGACACTTAAAGAATCCATGGATGGATTCAGAGGGATTTTTCCTGAAAGTCTACAAGACTTTGTTTGTGAACAAGCATAAAATAGAAGATGCTTCTACATGATGTTACAGAAGAACTGTTTTTGCTTAACCTGTTAGGAACCATGATGACTAGAAACAGTGTTACTTCTTTATGGAGTTAGTAAAGACATCTCCTTCCAAACAAACATAATTTGGGAACTCTAATCATTGTATTTCCTCTTTCAAATTCTGACTGTCTTTGAATGTTCTTCTCACATAGCCGATGGATATCCCCCAGTGCACAGAAAAAGTCTTGTTAAAACAGACTGTAGATGAGATTTAAACAAGACCTCACCAGTGATACATTTCCTCTCTCAACCACACAAAAATCCAAAATACGGAGGGTCTAAACAGGGGCAGAGAAAGGCATTCAGTGATCTTAAAAATAAGTGTGAGGTAAAACATAGCTAAATACAGAAAGGGCTATTAACTAATCAATCAACAACTCAAATCTAAAAGGCTGAACTTCTAGAAGACAGGAATTCAGAGTCAGCTGATGTGCACTGAATATAATGTTAATGGAACATTCATATTATTCACACTTATATCACCAATTATCAAAGCTTTTAAAAGAAGATATATTTGCCAGATAGCTCAGATCCAAATTTCAAGGGAAATCTGTATAGAACTTAGATGCCTAAATATCTTCTGAGGATCTAGGTGCGTGCCTAAGGGTAATAAATAATTTTTATGGGATTAACCACAACAAATCAAACTACAATAACTAGATTTAACAAAGCACAAAAACCTATTAAGTGCAATTCTGACCTCGCTTCAACTTAGTGTAATTCCACTACTTCACACTGCATCACCTGGACTGTGCAGACAAAGGGGCTCCTCCTGGTTTATGCTGCCCTCAGTAAACCTACACTAAACCAAACAGCCATTTCAAAATAATTTCTAGTATGAATTGCTAATATGCCTTTTTATGCTTCACCATTCGACCAATTTCTTAATAATCTTCTCTAAATGAGACAAAATTTCATAGCAGAAGGAAACATGTCATGACCATTCATTCCTATTTTTTTATCTTGCAAAAAGGTTTGTAAAGAGATTCATTCTCTTTACAATATGTATATTACTATGCCCAAGTGAGTTCCTTTTCAAATGTGAACTGAGTATTGCATTTAGTTTTCTAGGCTAAATGCAAATGCATCTTTCTAACAAAAATGTATAAGCACATCTAGACCCTGAGGACATCTCTTTTACTTGGAAAGTCAGTCAGAAGAGTAGTGTGAAGAAAACCAGCCAAAGCATTGCAGGAACCAGCTTCCAAGGAGTCCCCTAACAAGGCAGTTCTTCAGCACACTGATACCAACAACACAAGCACTAAACGACTGGCAGAAACAAAGCCATAGTCCTGGAAGACAGGCATGGTTCGAAGTGAGTGATGGGTCCCTATCTTGAGCAGTTAGAATGAATCTATGTTGTGAATGGACATAAGCAGAAGACGCTTTCTGTAACAGATTCTGTCCCTTTCCCCACCCTCTTCAAATAAAACCCCAAGCCCCCAGAAACCAGCGTTTCCACCTTAGGCACTGTCGAATGGTCATCAGGAGTTTTACCAAACAGCCCAGCCTAGTAAAACCAAACGCAGGTCTTGACAACTAAAACCTCTGGGTTATCAAGCTTGTGAAGCAGAGCCTCTCACTGGGTGGGTCACACGTGGCGATGACTTTCCGTGGAAAGGTGCTGGGATGGACACTGGGTGCCGTGGCTAATGCTTAAGCTGCCTGGGGGCTCTTGGGTTAGGCCTCACCTCTGGGTCCTGTAATGACAGGTCGATGGTGCTGTGTGAAAGCCGTTCCAAGGGAGGAGGTCTGCGAAGGCGAGGGACTGCTGAAACCAGACTTCTCTGACTTCTTTAATGTAGTTGGCGATGGCATTCCTGGCAAGAATGATTGATAAGTGCAATTTAATAATGCTAGGTCATGGAACGACAGCCTATGCATTGTGAAAGTGGGTGCAGAAGCAGCTAGATAAACTTAAAGGACAAATGAAACGGAATACAACAGCAAGCTGAAAGCTCACTTTTATTTGTGGTCTTTTTTGAGGCAGAAGCGGCCATGGTTTGCTCTGAGCAATGAGTACTAAAAGGCAGCCATATTTTTCTTTTAAATCTGAAATATGGATAAGATGCAGCTTATTATTGCTACTGAAACCTACTCTGCTTTATTTTTAGAAATCTGTAATAGCTGGAGCATTTGGATTTTTACAGGCTTTTTATGAGTTCTGTCTTTCACTCACTGGTTTAGTAGATTATTGCAAATGGATCTTTTAAATGTGCTGCACGACTCAAGGCACAACTAGAGAATGAAGTTTTCTGAGTTCAAACTCTGCCTTTCCTTACTCTCTTGACTTCAAAGGTATTTGAAAGTAATATATTTATGTGGTTCCCTTTTGCTTTCAAATTTTTTTAAAGGGTGAATGGTATTTGTGTCTTGATATTAGAAGCCACACTGGAATTATTTCAGAGTTGTTATTATGCCCTTGAACTATATCAAAGGCTTCCAATGAAAATCAGAGTTAAGTTGCCACTGGGTGAAACCTCTCCTGTGGACAGGCAGAAAAGGTGTAATGCTAATATGACCAGTTTGTTATACTCTGTAAGAATAACTCCTGTTGATATCATACCAAGCTCATGGCACCAAAGAAATTAGTGGAATGAATATATTGCAACAGGCTCTTAAAACCTGAGCCTTTTCTGCGTATGATTTATGCTTGGATAAAAGAATATTACAGCATAGACATGAAGAACATGTATGTGTGTCTGTATTATTTTCTGTATTTTTGTAGTTCTAGAGGCATATGGGTATTCTGATTATCTGCACATACTCTGAAAACACATGATTTCCGGTATATATAGTATATCCGACATTTTGCATATCCGTAGGGATATAGCAACACAAAGGTGCAGACTAGTTGAGGTTTCAGGTGCAAAAGCAAAATATCAGATAATGTGGAAGTTGAACTTCCGCTAGCAAAGTCATTCAACCTTATTTCCAACTCTGTATTTTATAGCATTTAATTGTTAAAAAGTAAAGAGGGAGGCCTGGACAATATTATCTCTGGACAATATTATTAACTTTATATTTAATAACACTAGTTTTATAGTCCCTGGGATGTTGACTGCAATATGCAGGAGCCTTCTTGTACTTTATGCACTGCACTGCTGGGGTCTTAATGGTTTCAGTGAGGTTTTGCAGTTTATATTTCAGAAAGTTAAATAAAGTAAGGGAATGGTTAGAGTTCCAGTGTTGTACTTGCAGCTTTCTGTCTCAAAACTGTTTGCTACGAGGGTTTGCTTTTGTGGTGGCTTTTTCCTCATAGCAAGAAAGGTTACATACTTAATCTTTTAAAAATAAAAGTTTAGAACTGACAGACTATTGTGTAAGAAAAATACTGGGTTGTTTTTTTTTCATATTGGTCTTAAGGACTTTGGAGTAGGGACAAAAGCAAAAAGAGTTGGTTCAGTTTGGGGGTAAGAGAGGAGAGGAGACTGAAGTAAGGTATTTCAATGAAATATTCCAATGCAGCCTGCTGAGTTTCTGCTCAAATGGCACGTTGGGATGTTAACTTAGTTATTGCTCTGTGTTTGAGAGTCCACATTCAGGACAAGGACACTCAAAAGAGTAATGGTGCTGTTGACCCAGATTTCCTTATGATGGAGGAACTGGGGATGGAAACACCAAACGAGTGTCAACCCCAGCCCTAAACACAAAGTCAAGGGTCAGTGGCGATGTTTGTGCTTGGGGAGGGGTAGAGGAACTACGCTGCTGGCAACAAGGCCGTGGGTACATCTTCTCTATGCTGGGCTGTGGAAGGGGCTAGGTTTGCCCCCTCAGGAAGGTTTTAAGGTAGCAGGCTCTGTCCCTCTAAGTGCAAAATATCATGGACGGGACAAGCGACTATTTATGCACAGGGATTATCACAGTAAAATATGCCTGCTTGTGAGCTGCTCTAACTGCAAGGTTGTGCAGCTCTCTTGCGTGGAAACCCAAGGCCCCCCACGCAGCTGACAGTTCCACAGCCCATGAGCAGAGATCCAGGAGGGGACGTGAGTACCTGTGCCCTGGGCAAGTAACAGAGGTTGTGGAAGGAGTAAGATCTCTAAGTCTATGCACCGTATGGTTCAGCTGGCTCATGAACTCCCTGCTTTCCCCCATAACCTCTAGCTGCATACCCTCTTCAGGGTTATGGGAAAGATAATAAAGCTTCTGAGAAAGTGAAGAAGCTGTTCTTTTACCCCTGTGCTAAAAAACCTGCTTGACTCATCTAAACCATGGTAGGGGGAAGGGGCAGAGAGAACAGTGGAATATGGTTTAAAGCTGTAGCAAGTTCATGTGGTTGTGTCCAAACACTGGAACTTGAGGAGCTACAACAAAGCTCATGAATGACCTTGCACTGTGGCAATGCTAAGCAGTGTCATGTTCATATAGGGATGGATTTTATAAGGTCGAGGCAGCTGTTTTCATGTGAAAATAGAGATTTTAATGTAGCACTATGTCGTAAAATTGAGTAGAAAGACAAATTGAAGCACTGATAATTGTTTCCTGCTTTTGTTATATTTGTTATCATCGTTCTGATTGCCATTATTATCACTACTTTGGTGGGTTTTTTTTATGTCAGGGTATTCTGAAATGTATTGGTTTGGAACAGTCCAACTCTACCATGTTTTTATTTTGTTTAAGGTTTGTAATGACACATTTTATTTTGAGTGATCATATCCATCAGATCTCAAGAAAAAAATGGCTGCTTCCTAGTTCAGAAGAATATGCAAACAGGAGCTTAATTACATCACTTAATATTGACCAAGAGAAAGAATAAGATGAGCTTGCCAGCTCATTTCCAAAGCATGTTTTGTCCTTTAAGAGGGGAGGGTATGACAGAAAGTTAGGCAGTGCAAAGCAATTAGCATCATTCACATTTTATGTTGCGCTAGCATGGTGCTCTAGCAGCAAAATTCAAACATTCTTTGAATGGGTTAATAAAAGAAGAAATACAGTCGGCATGCAAGAAAAAGGTTTCCAAGAACAAGCCAAAATATGTCCCATTCTTCTAAATTTATCACAGCCATGTCACATTATCCTTGAGACTGCCAGGAGTGTCAATTTTTTTGCAATTTAAAAAAAATATCTCATTTAGCACCATATGTTTGGTTAATGTGCCTGATATATCCTGCGTATTCTTTAGTCCATCCATTTCTAATACTCATTTTCTTTTTTTTCCCCCTTGCTAAGCCATATGTTACAATGCTGGTCATTCTATCGAAGCTTCTTTCAGGAGCTGAGAAGGAGAGTGAGGGAACTCTGGTTTAATCACCCAGAAAAAAATTGAATCTGATACTACAAGTCTCACTCTTAGGTAAGTAGTCTCAACACTTGAGTTAGCATTGTAGGTGCCTGGTGCCTATGAAAATCAGGCCACCTATGAGATGGCATGGTGTATATTAACAACTGTGAGGCAGAAACTAAGATAAATGACTAAATATGGAATTAGGTGTTTAATTATTGGCACCCATGTTTGAGACTCTTGGCTAGTTTTAAAGGTCTTCTGTTTCATACCTAATGAGTTTTAACACATTTAGTGGTCCCCAGTCTGCAGCTTCCCCTCCTGTGTTGCTCAGGGATGCAGGAAATTAAAAAGTTAAAACTGAAGCTACCCCGGGCAGAGCCCAGGGAGGATGCTGCTGCCTTGCACGGCTTTCCTCAGCATTGTTCCCAAGAGCTAATGAATATTGGGGACCACTGCACTGAAGACCAGATTTTGGCACTTCACATGGCCCCAAAGAAGGGGTAGTGCCAGCTCGTAAGGACACCTCTGAGTCCCGATTCTCCTCTGTCTCCTCTCTGGTGCAGGGCAGCAACAAATTACAATATCCCCCAACCCATCTCAGCTGCGCTGGCCGGTGAATAGGGAATGGAGCCAAGGATCCTCCCCGTTCCCTGCCTCTTTCTATCCATCTGCTCCAAGCAAGGAATAAACAAGAACAGCCAAAACACAACGGCTGGGTAACCCAGGTGGAGTTTAAAAGTGTTTCTTACTATTCTGTGTATAGGACTGTTGTCCAAATCACAGTCACACCTGGCACTTCTAGGAAACACAGATTTCACAATTCAGGTCTGAGTCTCCTCTGAATGTTATTTAGAGTGCAAGAGAAGAAAATCAGACTTAGTCTATTTTCATCTTACGGCAGCTTTTAACTACAGAATAAATGGAAAAGTTAATTGCTAAATAAAAAAGAAAATAAAGGGATTTGTGGCATAAAACGCAGATGGAAGTCTGAGTGGGTGTGTTACTTTAACTTAATGTATGTGTGTTCATGTGATTCTATAAGTATATGTATGCCAAACATGTATGGTCTTAGCCTGCTCCCATTAACATGAATGCGTTTTTTTCACTGGACAGAGGGAACCAGATCAAAGACCATGATGGTGCTAAATGGAACAAGATGTGTACTTCCATATTTTTTTCCAAAAGGAAATATTAATTTGACATTGGTTTTTCAGTTAAAAAGAATTTTAATTGCAGTACACAATAAGCAGAAAATTCAGACAACAATAATCTTGAAACTGTTAGCAGCATTATATTTCTATCAAGGAGTCTGTGTGCCTTTTCAACATTAGAGCTTTCTGAATTTTCATTAATTTGGCATTTCCCTAAACACACAAGTTATTTTGTTCATTCCACATCATGCATCACACCCTTCTGCTCAATGCATAATGCAAGCGTAAATGGGATCCTTGTCCTTGAGAGACTCTGGTTACTGGAGCCATTGCATGGATGTTGAAGTCCCGCAGTAAGACTTTCCAAAACTCTGCACTTCGCAAACCTCCAGCCCAAGTTTAATCAGTGAATGCACAGGAATACTTCATGTTCCTCATCTTC